CAGACACACCCACACCACCGTCTCCTCCTGAGGAAGGGAAAAAAGGCACTTGGGGTTTTTGGCTCCTCTGAGTCACAGGGGCCAACTGGAAGGTTTGCTCTGCTGACCCCTGTGGCCATGAAGGAGAGGAACGGCTTGCGTGGGGAGGGGATGGTGAGCTCCCTGTTCCCCCATGTCCCTTGCACAGGGGAGGCTCTGTATGATTGCCCTCCAGAGGCCCCAGCTCAAGATGGGGCAACCCTGGAGGTTTGGGGCAGATCCTGGCTCTGCCAATAGCAGCACCGGATGGGCATCCTTGTACCCCAGCAGTGACCCCAGACCCTGTGGGCAGGGAAGGGGCAGCTCCTGCAGCAGAGCCTAGGGCACAGCTCCCACCAGGAGGGGAGGGCACCTCACACCCATGTGTGCACACACATGCACTCCGAGGCAGCCAAGGTCTCGGAGACATTCAAGGTGGGAGTGTCACCTGAAGAGCTATTTGGGGTTCCCCACTGTGAGCCTGCCTCCCATGGGGCTCAGGCCATGGCCAGGCCTTCCACATGGCCGTGGATGCAGGCCATGCTGGACATGCCACTCTCGCCTTTGTAACTTTTGGGGACCCGGCTGGCTTTCAGCAAGACCAGGAAGGTGTCTGTGGAGATGGCCCCAAACTCAAAGGTGAAGGTGCCGTAGAAGACCAGGACATCAATGATGAACATCCACTCACACAGGGCAGCCACATGCTGCAGCACAAAACTCTCCTGGATAAAGAACACACCGCCTGAGGGCACCCCTGTCAAGGAAAGCACAGCTGGACCTCAGCCACCCCATGGAGGACCACAGCCCACTGCCACTGCATGCCAGGGTGGGCGTGAGCAGCCCCTCTCTGCAGGAAACACACCATCACCCCTAAAAGCAAGAAACCCCACATGCTTCTGCTGGCACCACGACGGCCCAGGCACGGGCGAGGCAGCAGCACACGTTCCCAAACCACCTTGGTAAATCACAGGACTCATGCCAGGCAGGGATTTTCTGAAGAGGCCGGGGCAGGGGGAATTCAGGCAGCAGCCTTCAGGGAAAGCTGGGTGCTCACATGCCTCACCCGCTCCACACCTCTTGCCTCTTCCTTAAATCAGGCTGATAATCCCCATCTGCTTGTGGGACACACTTGAAGTTGAGAAAACTCAATCCGCCCTGCATGCCCTTGGTAAGAGGGTTTGGACTGCTGCATCCCGGCCCCACAGCACTCCCCATCCCTCTGCACTGCTGTCTGGCTCACCCCAGAGAGGGGCCTGCTGCTTCTCCTCCAGGTCCTACCACTGCCAGAGCTTCTTTATGGTTCTCTCATCCCCACCAAAGATCTCCACGAAAACCTACTGCCAGAGCCACCAGAGGTGAGGGGAGAAGGCAAGCCCATCCCCACCCCTCTAGGTGAAGCCTCTGGCAGTACCCTGCCTTAGAATCATAGAATCATAGAATCATTTAGGTTGGAAGGGACCTCCAAGATCATCAAGTCCACCCACCGAGCCACCAGGGCTCCAAAGTCCTCTGCCAAAACAGATCAGAATCTGTCAGGGTGCGAAGGGATCACTGCCAAAGAGACCAAGATCTGGGGACAGCTGGAGAGGCAGGGACCTTACCTGTGCAGGGTAGAGCCCTCCGCTCACTCCCTGCTTCCCAAACAGGTGAGGTTCCGAGCCCTTTCCCCACACTGTCCCCACCACAGCTCACTGCTTTCCCACTTCCAGCCCTCAGCAGTTACAGAGCAGCATGGGCACGGCAGGCGGGCACTAGACCCATCTCCCTTGTCCTTACACGCCCTGCCTGTCTCACCCAGCTGGCACAGCCCCATGGTACTCCTGCCCTTCCCAGCTCCCTGCCTGCTTCCTGCCCCGCCTGACTGCTGTGGTGACAGAGAGAGACCCCCTGGCACACCCCATGCCCACCAGCACCCCCCAGACTCCTCCTGCACTGCTCAGCCCAGCCAGAGCCCGGCCAGCCTCTCTGGGACCCGTGGACACCACATGCTTTTCCCTTTCCTGCCCAATAACCAGCACTTTCCCAATTTATCCCTAACCTCCGTCCCAAATAAGCCCCTGGCTCTGGCCACACACTTGAGACCATTCTTCCAGCCTCACCCTGCCTGCTGCTGTGCTCCCCCCGCCTGGCACTGCAGACCCCAGTGCCTGCTCACCAAGCCTCCCCTTGTCCCACATGCAGGTCGGCTGGTGGGTGCTGGTGAGCCCTGGCTGGCAGAGGAGCTGCCATGTGCCCACCTGGCACCCTCACAGAGCATTTTTGTACTCAGCTCCAGTCATACAGGCAACTCAGATGGACTTTGCATCGCCGAGGGCTCAGCATACTTTCCTCTCATTAAAAAACCCAAACAATTAATGGGCCCTTCCACTCTGCAAGGTATGGGGCTGGAGCCTGCAGCAGCAGCCGGGCTGGGCTACAGCAGCCAGAGCAGGGCCGAGTTTGGGGCACCCCAGTGACCTGAGAGATTCCCACCAGACTCCATTCCCCTCCTCAGCCCCTTCCTGGCCCTGCTGCTGCTGCTCCCCAAGCCTACACCTGCAGCAAGCTGCCCACCCTCAGCTCCCTGCAGAGTCCTTCTGGCGACATCCCCGCTGCCAGCCCAAAGGATGGAGGACATGGGACATGGCCTCCCCACAAGGACCACCTTTCACCAGCCTATCCTGGATCTCCTCCCCGCACCCTTCAGAAGGATATTGAAGACAAGGGTGAGGAAGGCCACCATGGTGAGGATGCTACGTAAGTGTCCGGTCCAGTACTGCCCGCGGGTTTTGGCCATGCGGTAGGTGAGGATGGACTGCAGGAGCAGGAACAGCATGCTGGTGGGGAAGGCCACCCCCGCCCCGATGTAGTGCAGCACCTTGGCATGATCCACCTGCGGGGGAGAGAGACCATCGGTGCTGGCACAGCTCTGCTCCAGGGGGTGGGCTTGTCCCCAGGTAAGGGTGCAGGCAGTGCCAGGAGCAGGTCCAGGCTGCTCGCCCCGTGCCCAGCTCCTGGCTGAAGAGCAGATTTGAACCTGCTGTCTGCTACTGAGGTCTCAAAGCCCTTCTGTTTCTCTCATCCGTGGGACGGTAGCTTCTGAGCGAGACCATCGGTGCTGGCACAGCTCTGCTCCAGGGGGTGGGCTTGTCCCCAGGTAAGGGTGCAGGCAGTGCCAGGAGCAGGTCCAGGCTGCTCGCCCCGTGCCCAGCTCCTGGCTGAAGAGCAGATTTGAACCTGCTGTCTGCTACTGAGGTCTCAAAGCCCTTCTGTTTCTCTCATCCGTGGGACGGTAGCTTCTGAGCCCCTCGGGCAAACAGCCCTACTGTGCCTGGGGGCACGTGCCAGCTCTGCCCTGAGCAGCATCTGGGGCTGCCCACGCCCTCTCCCGGGGGTCACAGCAGAGCTGCTGAGCCACGGCTGGAGCACAGGGGGAACGGGGGCCAGCGAAGCCTCTCCCTGGGGGGTGGCGGCGGCAGC